CTTTCTTTCAATAACTTTGATCAAGACTCGAAGAAACAAACTAAAGTCGTGTAAAATAATATGGCGGCAGTGCAACCGCGTTCAAACTGCCGCCCCATAAATTAAAGACGTCTCAAACACTTTGACGTGCGTTTAATTGGAACATATCATAATATCCAATGGGTGACACTTTGTGTATGTGTATGTGGTTATGGGTGTGTATGTCTGTGTGTGTGTGTGGACATGCGTGCCCTCCTCACACTATTGCCACCATGACCGTGCTGGTGCCAGGTGTTTGATGAAGCGGCCGAGCAGGGCCAGGCGATGAAGAGCGCCTCGCGTTCCATGGCCAGTGCCGGGATGGGCACGGAGTCGCAGTCTCGCAACCTCGTCAGCCGTCTCCTCCACCAATCCACGAAACGCGTCACTCTCGCGCGCATGCGGTGTGTGTGTGTGTGTGTGTGTGTGTGTGTGTGTGTGTGTGTGTGTGTGTGTGCGTGCAGGAAACCTTAAGAAACATACGTATGTGGGTATATGACACACGCGTGCTTTGCTGTCTCCCTTGCACTCACATACACACGCACACACATACCACGTTGTCCCTCGTGCTCGTTAATGCCACAGTGCCGACTTTATCACGGAGATGCGCACGCTGTCCAAGCTGCGCCACCCGTGTGTGACGACGGTCATGGGGGCGGTGATGATGAAGGGGTGCGAGCCGATGATGGTGATGGAGCACATGGACCTGGGCACCCTCTACTCCATCCTGCACAACGAAACCATGGAGCTCGACGGAGAGACACGCTACTACCTCGTAAGATGGCGCACGTGTGTGGTGTTGGTGAGGAGGGGGGCCGGGTCATTGCATTGCTTGTGTATATGCGCGTATGTGTATGTGCGTGCGTGTGTGTGTGTGTGTGTGACAACCAAGCGGGGCATGTCTTTATGTTTGTCATCGCATCATGACTGTGTGCTCACTCGCTATCCGTGCTCCGCCACCACCACCACCACCACCAGACGCTCGATGTTGTCTCTGGCTGCCGCTTCCTGCACTCGAGCGATCCGCCCTTGATCCACGGCGACCTCAAGTCCCTCAACGTCCTCGTCGACTCAAAGTTCCGCGCAAAGGTCAGCTGGAGTGCGTGCGTGCGTGTGTGTGTGCTGGTGTGTGTATGTGTGTGTGTGTGTGTGTGTGTGTGTGTGTGTGTGTGTGGCGCTGCACTTGTGCTGGCTATCACAGATATGTTTCCTGTCGCACACTGATACTGTTCTCACGCTGCATCCCCCTTCGCCGTCATCACGACCACCATCACGACCAGGTGTCTGACTTTGGGCTGAGCGAGTCTGGGAGCGGTAAGGCGTGCGGCACCCCGTACTGGATGGCCCCGGAGGTCCTGCGCGGCGAGCCAACCAGCGTCGCCTCAGACGTCTACTCCTTCGCCATTATTCTGGTGAGTTGTGTTGATGGTGTGTGTGTGTGTGTGTGCATGTCATTGTGTGTGTGTATGTGTGTGTGTGTGTGCATGCGTGTGCACCTTTGCACCTTGTCTTCCGTTCGTCCCTCATACTCTCGTATTCCCGCACCAACTAACACCGTTTCCTCATCCCACTCCCACCATCATCACCACCACTGCCTCCCACCAGTTTGAGATCTTCAGCCGCAAGGACCCGTACCCGGCAGACACTGATCTCGAGAACACGTTGAAAGAGGTGATCAAACGCAAACGCCGTCCGTTCGTACCGGCCAACTGCCCCCATGTCGTTGCGCAGCTAATGCGGGAGGCATGGCACGCTGACCCGGACCGCCGGCCCTCCTTTGACGAGCTGGCCCGCCGCTTTGGGCACATTGACGCGTCCGACTGCCGCGTTGAGGAGTACAGCAGGAAGGGCAAGGACTCGAACAAGGTGCTCGAGGACGTCTTCCCGCCACACATCGCAAAGGCCCTTCGCGAGGTGAGACATGGTGTGTCTGTGTGTGTGTGTGTGTGTGTGTGTGTGTGTGTGTGGTGTGTGTGTGTGTGTGTGTGTGTGTGTGTGTGTGTGGTGAACCAAATGCACTTCTCTTTCGCACGTCCTTGGCTTGCGCTCTGTCTGTAGACTTTTTCTCACCCACACCCACCACAACCCTGCTCTCCATTCATCCTCCCTCTCGTCCCTTACCACATCGCACCACCAGGGCAAGAAGATTGAGCCCGAGCACCACGACTGCGTGACCATCTTCTTCTCGGACATTGTGGGCTTCACCACCATCAGCTCGCTGCTCAACCCACGCGATGTCATGAACATGCTCGATCGCCTCTACACCAAACTCGACGCCCTCGCCGACGAGATGGAGCTCTTCAAGGTCGAGACCATCGGCGACGCGTACATGGCAGGTGCGGTCACAAGGTGGTGTGTGTGTTGTGTGTGTGTGTGTGTGTGCATGTCTATGTGCGTGTTTGTATGTGTGTGTGTGTGTGTGTGTGTGTGTGTGTGTGTGTGTGTGTGTGCTGGCTTTCACGAATCTCATCGTCACGACACGCAAGTTCTTCCATCTCATCCAACATCCTCACCATCACCACACTTCCCTCTGCCCTCTTCCCCCTACTTTGCACACCCTCAGTGACCAACCTGATGAAGGAGCAAAAGGACCACGCTGCGCGCGTCGGCCGCTTCGCCGTCGCCGCTGTCAAGGCCGCCAACACCACGCTGATCAAGGAGGACGAGCCAGACCTCGGCTGCGTCAACATCCGCGTTGGCTTCCACTCCGGCCCCGTCGTCGCAAACGTCGTTGGCACGAAGAACCCACGATACTGCCTCTTCGGCGACACGGTGAGCATTGGGTGCTGATTTGTTTGTGTGTGTATGTGTGTATGTGTGTGTGGGAGTGTGTGTGCGTGTGTGTGTGTCTGTGTGTCTGTGTCTGTGTCTGTGTCTGTGCTTGTGTGTGTGCTTGTCTGTGTGTGTGTGTGTCTGCCACTGTTGTATCACGCCTTCTTTGCCTGCTCTCTCCCCATCCCTTCTCCCCACCCTCCCATCACGCATCCTCACGCCAACCCTCGTCAACCAACACATCCTCCACTCCCCCACCCCCACTACCCCAGGTCAACACGGCATCGCGGATGGAGAGCAACAGCGAGAAGAACCGCATCCACATGTCTGAGGCCGCGGCGGAGCTGGTGTCGCAGCAGGCGCCTGACATGGTGCTGGAGCCACGCAAGGCCATGCACATCAAGGGCAAGGGCAAGATGCAGACGTACTTCCTCATTGCAGCCGACATCGACCACGCCAGCAGCAGCGACACCGCCGCCCTCATTGAGACCAAGCACAGCAAGACACAGCTGCCAGAGGAGATGGCCGAAGCTGATGGTGACGACGGTGACGGTGGAGATGGTGATGACGCCGGCACATCGGAGCAGACAGCTGGTGCCGACAACAAAGCCCAACTGACGTCCACCACCGCCACAGACACCACCAACAACGACAACAACAACAACAACAACAACAACAACAACAACAACAACAACAACAACAACAACAACAACAACAACAACAACAACAACAACAACAACAAGGCCGGTCAGCACGACAGCCAGCAGCAGCGCCGCAACGTGTCCGTCCCAACTGTGCTGGAGGCGATGTACGCCGACACCCTGCAGAGCAGCGCAGTTGGCGCTGATGAGAAGCAGAGCAAGCAGCAGCGGCAGCAGGGCATTCGCGTGTTGGATCTGAGCGACGGTGTTGGGGTGAACACGCACCCTATATCTGGTGGCGATGACGAACACGAGCACAGCGAAGCCAGCAGCCCGTCATCCACCACCTCTGAAGCCTTGTTGCTGGAAGAGCCATGGCACAACAACGGCCGTCAGCACACTGCAGGCAAAACAAGGCCGGTGAACCAGCAGCTGCCAACACCGCGCTCTGCTGCAAGCGATGCTGCCAGTGCTGTGCAGCAGCAAACAGAGTCACACATCTGAGATGTCCATATGTGTGTGTGTGTGTGTGTGTCTGTGATATGGAGCTGGACCTAGGTACGATTGAACACGGTCGGTGTACGGTGTACCCCTCCCTCCCCTGCTGTATGCTCGTCTGGCGTGAATTCATCTTTCATCACGGGCATCGCCGCCCCTTCCCCTCCCTCTCCTTCCCTCTCTGCACATCGCATGATTATCTTGATCCCTTCGCCGCTTCCTTTCACTGGTTTTACATTAGATCGACAAGTCCCCCCACTCTATGTTGAATGTTGTGCATATTGCTTCTATGTTCAAATGTTTGCTTGCATGTCTGTATCAATCGTTTGAATGTGCTGCTTTGAATGCTTGTCAGGCACACTCTCTCTCTCACTCGCAAGGCTGTCGTAGTCATGTAAGGTGTAACTGCTGTCAGTTCAAGAACTTGCTTTCATGTTGTACTTTGTAACGTAACTGTCATTGTCACTGATCGATAACCAACCAAAACATGAACAGTAAAGACACGCTGGGAACACAAGCAGAGCAAGGGGACAGTGCGAACGGAGGAACGAACGAAACGAAGTGACGTGACAAGAGAGTTGCAAGGTAACGTGAGGACGAAACAGGTAGGTCCCTGTGGGCGCAAAGAAGGCATCAACGAATGGTGGTGGAATGTTGTGAAACGCAAGGGCAGAAGCGAGCACACAGAAGCATGACGGTGGGTGGCACTGATCTGTGAATGCAATGAAAAAGGGTGGATGGCGATAGCAAAGAACACAGCAGAAGTCACACGTCGCATCATAACAGCTGCCAGAAACGAAAGAAATGAAAGACATGAAAGAAACGAAAGACACCCACAAGAGAACGAAAGACATCCCAACGGAGCCACGTCGCAGGGTTGATTTCCTTCAGCATTGCCGTCGTCAATCTTGTTTCAGGCCCAGAAGAACTTGATAATCTTGGTGCACAGCGAAGCGTTTTGCACGTCATCAAAGTCAATGTCTTTGAAGTTGCGGCGACCAGCAGTGACACGCGCCGTCACATCAAGGCCAAGCGACCGCTTCAGCATCTGCACAAAGATGGTATCCAAGCTGGAGGGCCGAGCAAACAAACGAATGCATGGACAAGTTTATGGTGTCAGTCAGAAACACACTCGCAATGGGGCAAGGGTAGAGCATGCTTGCGGATTTTCTGCATGTCAATAGAACAAGTTGTGCAGAACCTACCCTGGTGTCACGTCCTGCTCTAGAAAACGAGTATCGGTCGGGGCACACTTGATCATTGCTGTCGATGCGTTTGGAACAAGAACCCTGGCAGTGTTGCTCGGGCAGGTTGAGAGTTGTGCCAACAAAACCCATGCAGACAGTCGTGCACTCTCAACACAGCGGACGGGAGTTCTGCATGGAGCAACACAGACATATGCCACTCACTTGAGTTCTTCGATGGTGTGTCGGGTCCAATACAGTGTTGCTCCCGAGGTGTCCAGCGTCTCCGGTACGTTCATATCAGCGATTCGCCGACCTAAGACAGCGGCATCAGTGTTCAGGAAGGAGACACAGACAGCAATATTCGAAGTTGGTCTTTGCACACGTACACACACACACACACACGCACGTACACAAGTTCGAGCAGTTCGAACCAGATTGCTGTTAGCGCACCCTTTGCAAAGAAGCTGAGCCGCGTCGGGATTTTGCCAGGACTTGATGTTGGCGTATCGAGACAGATGAGAGAGAAGTCGGCCTCCTCTGGAGTGTCAACCAGTTCAATCACATCGTAGCTATGGACCAAGTGAAGATAAGATGTATGTAAGTTAACACCCATATCAGCGAGGCTGAGATAGCGCCACCGGAAAATGCGCAACAAGTCTCATGCAAGACGTCAAACCAATGTCAACAAGCAAACACGCCGTGTATCGCTTTGAAAGTACGTGAATTTCAACTTACTAGGCAAGCGTACGCAGCGCGCGTTCCCTGGACTTTGTGAGGTGCGACTGTCTGTACACGCCCAGCTTGTTCGCGATTCCAAGCCGAACCAACATTGCAAGCAGCAGCGGTGCATCTGGCAGCGACGCGAAATCGATGGAGCGGCGAACGCTGGGAAAGTAATGGAAGAGCACTGGAACGGGAAGCAGAAACCAGTTTGTGATGCAGCTGTACCACAGCTGCTTCCGAGAGAAGCCGCCTCGAACCGCAAAAGTCAACAGGACGTGTATCATCACACCAGCCACTGAATAAAGCAGGCGAAACACTGCTGAGTGAGGATATACTTTGATAGTCAAATTATATCGACAAGGCATTTGAGTGCGTTCGACCAACCTGAAACTACGATGGTCCCAACGATCACGAGCCATTCGACGGCCACTGCTGACGGCAAGTATAGAAGGAACAAACCATCATCTTCTTGGAAATAATCGCCATCATAATCATCGTCTCCATCGTCTCCATCGTCGAGAGAATAAATCCGAAAAAACGTATGCTGAGAGGTCAACTCGGACAAAAGAAGTGCAGCGATGACCATTCCGGCAATCCCTGTTTGAGCACATTGTCAATTACGTTCGATAAGTTTCGGTTGTTCTGCAAGAGAAAAGGGGGTTCATGACCTCATGAGTGTGTCGTACTCACATGCTGCTAGCCCAAAGAGCGGTTGTAAGATGTGGAGTCTCGCCTAAGAAGCTCAGGAGTTGACATGAGTGAGGGCTCCAACAAAAAGCAGACAGTGACAGCAAAGTTGCTGATCGTCGCCATGCGAAAACGAAACACACAAGGGGGATGTTCATACCGTCCGAAGCACGGAGGAGACGGTGCCATGCCACCCTTCGTTGATTGCAGGCGTGACTTGTTGCTCACGATAGATATCGTTGAACGCGCCACAGGCGATGAAACCCTCCAGCAATATTCTTGTGAGCAATGCACGACATAAAACGTTGTGCACGGTGGCTAGACTTAGAACGAAACTTTGAAAAACACGGTCCAACAAACACACATTCTCTCTCACACACTCACATACACAAACACACACACACACACACACACACACACTCTCTCTCTCCCTCTCTCTCTCTCTCTCTTCGTCCCTTTGGTTGCCGAACCGTGCATAGCGATGTTTGAGCTCCTTGCTGCTGATGCTGCTCTGATCATACCAGAGGTAGTGGCCACATTCCCCTAACTTCAGCACAAGCTGACTTCGAAGCTGCAAACCATCAAGACAACAGTGCAGCAATACCATCGGACTGCAGATGAGCGTGTGTCATATCGCAGGCCATACTACGTCGACATACAACAAGTGTTTGCTCCTTACCTTGGCATCAGCGGACATGAAGTTGCGAGTGACAATGATCACGAGTGTCGCACTGGAAGTGGTCGTTCGCCGCAGCAATTGAGACAGATACGAAGCGTCAACTGTTTGATCCAGCACGCCAGTGTTGGGAGGTTTGGCGTCACGATCCCACAAGTCATCCACCCAGTCTGGTCGCATTGCTGCCAGCACGTGGCCACACTTTGGCTCGAGGTTCAGCAGTTCCACACAGCAATTGTGTGAGGAAATGTACTCGTCGGAGAGAAACACAACACCGGCCTTTGCGGAAGCCATGGCCAGTGCACACGTGTCCTCAATGCGGTGGCCCGGGAGGATGTTTCGAATGTCAATCCAGCAGACATCGCCAAAGAAGCAGTGAAAGGATTTTCGGGCGATCCGTTTGGTCCAATTACTCCATGAGTAGCTGATGGCGAAGGTTCCGGGCTGCATACCCGCTGTTAAGGCTTTCAGCATACGAGTTGGTGTCTTGGCAGTGAAGTGCTGTCGCGACCTACAAGAGGGCAAGAAGAGCAATTGCATTAGTTCGGTGGCAGAAAATACAAGATGCACACACACACGCCGACACACACACAAAACGCAGAACACCAAAGGTTCGAACATAAAGAACTTGCCAAATGAGGTGGAAGGTGACGGCAGAGCACAGAGACATGACGATTGTGGACTTGATCGCCGCGGGCTTCGAGACATCTTGGACAAACACAAGTGTGTCGTCAAAACAGTTGTCGTCCTTCAGTTTACCACCCTTTGTGCCCTGCGAATTCAGTGTGTTTTCACCAAACACAATGCACTCAAAGATGAGTCAAGGGGGCCAGCCGTGCAGCAAAATTCCAAACCACGAACAAGCTCAATAGATCAGTCCACCATCTACAATAGCAAACGCACCACGACCACCCAGGCGAGGAGCACAAAGGTCCAAGCAAGTCCGTACACGATGACTGCCAACCGAACACGCAGAAAGTAACAAAACAAACAAGAAGGTGCGTGTCGTGTGGCAAACGTGTTTTATATCAGTTGCTTCATATGGCTGTGTGTGCTTGTGTTCCCCATTCCTCGGCTCACGCAAACCAATGACCCAGAAGCAAACGCGCTCTTGTCCCATATCATCGCGTGGCATGTTCAGGCAAATACCTGCACCTACATGTCAGCTTGGGGCTGAGCATAAATCTGCGGACAGTGGCGACCCAGAATGGCAACCAAGAGTGTCCGGACGAATCTTCCAGGCGATCCAACAGATTTGTGAGACGGCGCCTTCTCTGCTGCTCTTGTTCGTCGAGCTTGTTGTTGCGTTCGCGAGAGGGCGAAGAATGGGGGTCCATGTCGATCACCTCTGCCCAATCGTCCTCAGTTGCGTCATCATTGGATGCAGTGCGTGCATGTGTCCGTCGTGAAAAAGAAGAGCCTCGCTGTTGTCCCTGTCCTCCTTCTCTTTCTCTCTCTTCTCTGGTCACGCCCAGCTCCAATTCTTCGCCAGCAAGGGAAGACTCAGCTTGATCATCATCACCACCGTCCCACCCAAGCAGCGGCTGGGCGAGGTCACTCATGCTCTCTTTCTGTGGTGCAGTCAGTGCGCGCGGGCTTGCTGGCTTGCTGGCTTGATGGGTGTCCGACTGTTGAGCTTGCTTGTCGTCTTGTCTGGTGTCTTGTTTGCTTTTGGAGCAAGAGCAATTTGCACAAAAAGTGCTTGTGATGATTTGCCTGCATGCAAAGAGGGCAAAGGACCAACCCACCACCGACCCTGTTTACAGGCCAGAATCCCATATCTAGACTAGAACCCGCACGAACAGGTTTTACCAGCCTGTCGTGGCCTTTTCCACTGAATTCAGTGCTTTGGGCAAAAGTGCGTGTGTGTGTGTGTGGTGTTTGGCTCGCTCGTGACGTTCCCGCTGCGTCTAGCCGTTTTGCCTTTCTGTCTCGCTCGTGTGTGTTTTGTCGCTTTCTCCCCTCCCAAACATAAGCGTCACATCATCCCATCGCCAGCTTGCTTGTCGGTGTTGTTGTTGTTTTTGTTTTCCCCCCACCTGCTGCATCATCTTCGCCAACAGACGCTAGTCGTTGGTGAGTGTGTGCGCATGCGCGAGCGTGGAAGTAACCCCTCACAGCAACCAGCAACCAATCAACCAAACAACCAATCAACCGAGCAAGCGAGCTTCTCCTCTCCCCGCAAACAACACGAGTGTTTGTGGCAAGAAGGGAGCAAGCGTGTGTTTGACGAGTTGTCTTCAACGTCACATGCACGCATCACTGTGCCATCAGTGATCGCAAATGATGGACACGCGCGAAGCATCAGCGGCTGTCGCGCAGCACTGGCAGCAACTCACAGACCAGCAGCGACCCCAGAGTCCAAACACACCTCTGCACGCTCTCTTCTGGCTCCAGCAACAACAACAACAACAACAGCAGCAACCACACTTTCAACAACACCAATCGAGGTCGTCGTCGCCGTTTCCCTTTGATCTGCCGGCGGTGCTCCCGCAGCAAGGCGTGGACGCCAACACACAACAAGACGACGAGGACGACGACAACGACAACGACGACGACGACGATGATAACGACGAGCTGAATGCCGAGCACGCGAGTGCCGGTATCCCTGACGGTGGCATGGGACCGATGCTCTCAGCCAACGGTGAACCTGAGCTCTCCAACATGAGCCTCTCCGCGCTCTTGCAAGGCCGCGATTCCCCCATTTTTGGCTCATGCTACGGTATGTGTGAGTGTGTGCATGCGTGTGTGTGTGTGCATGCGTGTGTGTGTGTGCGTGTGTGTGTGCGTGTGCTCGCCTGCATGTACTCGCTGTTTATTCGTTCGTGTGCGTGTGCTCGCCTGCATGTGCTCGCCTGCATGTGCTCGCTGTGCATTCGTTCGTGTGTGCTCGCGTGTACGTACGCACTGTTGGTTCGTTCGCGTGCATGCATGCCTGCATGTGCTCGCTGTGCATTCGTTCGCGTGTGCTCGCGTGTACGTGTGTTTCCGTTTACAGCGCCCACACTGGGTTGCGACTTGTGTGCGACTTGCTCGTTTGCAAGGCCTTTGCCTTTGTGTTCACGCTCAATCCATGTTAACACGGATGCGCCTGTGCGCAATTGTGTGCGCCTGTGTACATGTTGCACTCATCTGCTCTCACGCACTTACGCACATGCCGACGCACCTCGCACCCTCCCCTCCTCCCCTCCACTGCCCGTCTCCCGCCTGATTCGACGCTGGCAGGTGATGGGGATGAGCCGACACCACCGGATGAGCCGCGAACACCAATCACCTCCATGCCGGTGGACTCGCTGCTGAGCCCGATGTTCCCCAACTCACCAGTGTGGGCGCAGCTGCTTGGTTTGTCATCGCCAGCACCCAGCGTGAACCGCCGCCTGTCGTCATCATCGCCACTGTCACCACGGCGCCTCCTCCTCCAACGGCAGACGAAACAAAGGCAACAACAACAACAACAACAACAACAACAACAACAACAACAACAACAACAACAACAACAACAACAACAACAACAACAACAACAACAACAACAACAACAACAACAACAACAACAACAACAACAACAACAACAACAACAACAACAACAACAACAACAGCAGCAGCCGCAACAACAGCAGCAGCAGCAGCAGCAACAACAGCAGCAGCAACAGCAGCAACAACAGCAGCAACAGCAGGAGGAGGAGGCGACGGGTGAAGGTGATGTGGCATCACCGCAAACACCCGCGTCACTCTTCTCGTTCTTGAGTGGAGACGAAAGCCAAATGCTGCTGAGCACGTTGGGCTTGACACCGGGTGCGCTGTCCCCTGTTGCCGCGTCATCACCGGGCATGACGAGTCTTGCCGCCCAGTTTGGCGGCGGCTCCCCCCTCTCTCCATCCGCTCTCCTGCGCCAGGCTGCGGCCCCATCTGTGCCTACCACCAGCAACGTTGATAGCAGCGATGACGACGATGGTGATTGCAGTGGCGATGGCACCAGCAGCCGTCGTGTCCGCCCGTACCCTCAGGGCCGACCAACGCGCGTTGGGCGTGACAGTCACGCTGGTGGTAGTGGTAATGGTGGTGTTCTTGGGCGACGATGGCGACAGCGGCGTGCAAAGCGCAGTCCTCATCCACTGAACCGTGTGCACCACGCCGTAACACACGCCCCACAACAACAACAACAACAACAACAACAACAACAACAACAACAACAACAACAACAACAACAACAACAACAACAACAACAACAACAACAACAACAACAACAACAACAACAACAACAACAACAACACCTGCCGAATGCCACTGCGGTGCAAATGCAGATGCTGTTGCAGCAGCTATCAGCCAACACTGCCAGTGTCTCTACCCCCACGATAGCGACGACCGATACAACGCAGGGGTCGACCAGTGCTGACCCGTCACTGCTCCTCGCCACGTCAAGCATGCCCAGTCTCTCCAGCAGCGGTGGTGCAGGCAGTGGTGCACTGCCAGTGCCCGCCACCGGCACCAGTCAACCGTACGTGCACCAGACCAGCATAGCCGCAGCCATGAACGCCCTCTTTAACTTCCCCAACACCACCAACAGCAACAACATCACCACCAACAGCAACAAACACACGAGCGGCCTCAACTTCAACACCACGTCCGTCTCCTCCCATGGTGCTCCGTGTGATGGCAACACTGACGGTGCCAGTGGTGCAGGTGCGGCGTTGCCCCATGTTGACGCGACGACGTTGACCAGTAGCAGCACGGGCTGGCCTGCTGCTGACCTGCAGGGCTATGGCTCAGCCATGAACGACCCGGCGAGTGTGTTCACGCAACAGCACAAGCAGCAGCGCCACCGGCCCCAAGAGCAAGTACAACAACTCCACCACCCATTGTCTGTGCGAGGACTGTATGGTGGCGGTGAAGGTGTTGTGAGCACAAACGCGGATGAGATGCAGCACTATCCACATATCGTCTCCTCCATGCTTGCACAACAGGCCTCGACGGATGCTGGCACAAACATCGCCACCGGCGAGATTGGAGACGGTGGCACAGCCGTGCAAGCAGCTGCCGCCAACAACAACCGAAACGCCCACTGCCGCCGCCACCACCGCGAGCACGATGACAACAACGACGACGACGACGATGTCTGGGCACTCGCCGGCGGTGTGGAGAGAGGTACAGCACCGGCTACCAAGCGCCCAAAGCTGCAATCATCAGCACGGACTGCGCAGTCGTTCACATCAGCCATGCCCTCGGCACAGTCCCGCGCATGCTCGCTGTCATCGCCAACATCAGCGTCAACGTCGGGCGTGTCGCCGCCGTCCGCCACAAAGCAATCGTCACCGCCGCTGTTGTCGCACGCCCCCTACTCCTCGGCTGGCCAGGCACACGTTGATGCCAACGCCAACATCAGCGCCAACACTCACATGACCACCAACGTCAGTAGCATGACCACGAACAGCAATTGCAGGCGCCACCACGCCCGCAGCCAGCACATGGTCCACAGCAGTGGCAACGGTGGTGACATGTCATCGTTATCACTGCCAGTGCAACCATCGACGGCAACAGCGACGACAGCGACGACAGCGACAACAGCAGCCATGATGTCGTGCATGCCGGAACTGAACCGTCTCATTGCCACAGCGGGGACAGGTGCAGGACACACGCACCCCATGCCACACACGCAGGTCTCCACACCACAGCACAGCATGCATTCCACACTACTACCGATGACACGACCGCAGATGCCGCAGCCACACGCGACACAGTCGATGGCTGGGCATGTGCCCGGTGCAAACGCGTCCGCATCACCCTCGATGGTCCCGGACGCCGCGTACCGAACACTCGCTGCTGCTGCTGCTGCTGCTGCTGTGCCACAGTCCTGCACGCAACAACCACAACCACAACAACAACACCAACAACATCAACAACATCAGCACCAACAACAACGACAACAACAACACAGCCACCACCAACAGCATCAACACCAACACCAACAATCCCAACACCAGCATCAGCCGTCCAGTATGGGACCAGAGAAGCTTGCGTTCATGTCAGCGGTTCAGCAGTTTTTGTCTGGCGGTCTCAACACACAGCAGCCGCTCAACACGTCCGCACACGCGCCGCTGGCACCTGCTGATGAGCCTTTGTTGCACCCACAACAACACTACCATCACCAGCAGCAGCAGCAGCAGTTCCAACAGACGCAGGCATCATCACAGCAGCAATACCATCGTCACCAACACCAACAGCAGCAACAACACGCTCAGCTACTGTCGTGGCTGTCCTCCGCTGTGCTTGACCACCAGCAGCAGCATTACCACCACCAGCACCACCAGCACCATCAGCACCATCAGCGACCAACGCAACCAATGGATGCCGTGGAGCAACAGGCCGGTTCGTTGCTGTTGTCTGTGCAACGTGGTGCATTTCCCACCACCACCGCCACCAACAACAACAACAGCAACAACGACATCAGCACGCACAACAACGCTTGCAGCGCCAGCGACAGCAGTGCCAGTAACAGCAACGGGACCGCTGGTCAGCGCCAGGCGCTGGCGTACTACCTCAACACGAATGGTGATGGTGATGGTGGCGGCGACGATGAGGACGACGATGACGATGATGATGGCTGTGATGACTCACACGACCAGCCCTTACTCAACATCACCTTCAGCTGCCCCAACAAACCCACGACCACCAACACCACCAACGCGACCACGACAAGCAACACCACCACTGCTGCCGCAGCGAACACGGCGCCCGCCACCGCTTCGCACACTGGCGGCGCCGTCCCGACGGACAGCGGTGACGAGCTGGTGTGCCCCATCTGCACAGGGCCCGGCCGCTCCTCAGACTCACGGTGCGACCCACATGCTGTGATGCACTGCCGTGTTTTGCTTTTGTGTGTGTGTGTGTGTGTGTGTGTGTGTGTGTGTGTGTGTGTGTGTGTGTGTGTGTGTGTGTGTGTGTGTTCACCCGATTTAGCCCGAGTGTGCGTGTGTCTCTGTTTTCTGAACATGTGTGCGATTGAGCCCCAATGTGCTTGTCTTGCTTTTGTTGTCCTTTGAGCCACAACCAACCACGCGTGAGCCTCACATTTCACACCTCCGACTCCCCATCCCCCTTCCTCCTCTGCAGCATCTGCCCCGTGTGCTATGCCGGGCTGTACAACGACATTCGCAAGTGGACCCGCGAGGTCCCCGATGGCGTTTCCCACCTCTCCGGCAACGTCGAATTTGACATCCCCCAGTTTATGCACGGTACGTGTGTGTGTGTGTGCGTGTCTGCACGTGTGCGTGTGTGTGTCTGCACGTGTGCGTGTGTGCGTGTCTGCACGTGTGCGTGTGTGTGTGTGTGTGTCTGCACGTGTGCGCGTGCGCGTGTTTGTCTCTGTGTCTCATGTGACTCCTGTAACCATGTGTTTGTCATGTGCACTCGTTACATATTAACTCACAACTCAACACGCGCACTCGTTGTTGCTCGCGCAATCTCACCTCCACCCCCTCCTTGCACGTTGTCGTGCACGACATTCAGACCTGCGAGAGCGCATTCCGCGCGGGTGCCGCAACGGCTACAACTGCTCGCTCTCGGCCTACCAATACGGCGTCAGCCCACGTGCGTACACTGCCCCCTTCTCGCCTCCTTGCCTGTCTGTTTGTCTCTTTTGTGTTTGCTGGATCGTCGTTGTTTGTTGTATCTGCGTTGTGGTTTTCTTCTTGCACGTTGGGTGTGCGTACAGTGCTCCGCATCCCCATCATGCACTGTGCCCACCCCATACTCACACACACACACATACACACCACCTCCACAACCACTGTTGCCACACTGTTCCTCCACCACCTCCTCGTTGTTCACATGTGTCACTGTTCCGCCAGGCGACCGGTGCACGCGCTGCCGCTCGCTCGCCATCTGCCGCATCTTGCCAGACGTCGTCCATGGAAGTGAGTCCTCAGCACACACGGACATACGCAGACTCACTCACTCACTCACTCACTCACTCACTCACTCACTCACTCACTCACTCACTCACTCACTCACTCACTCACTCACTCACTCACTCACTCACTCACTCACTCACTCACTCACTCACTCACTCACTCACTCACTCACTCACGCACGCACTCACACTTACTCAACACACTGCCACTACACCACGGGTACCACTACGCGTTCAGTGCTCTTCAACACAAACCGTTCCCGCCGCACAGCGAGCTGATAATGTGTCCAAAATCACGCCGTACCTCACGTCACGCCGCATGGAATGCACGTCTTACCAACCGTCCCCCCCCCCCCCCCCAAAAAAAAAAAAAAAAAACCACTGCCGCATTCCGTCGCTTTTCCCTTCACTGCACATGCTCATCGTTGTCCCCCCTCTCCGCCTTGCTCATTGCTCATCGTTTGTCGCGCTGGCCGTGAAACCTGATCATTGTCGCTCCACCCCCTCCCCTCCAATGTTGCTGTCATGTCACACTTCGCCATCCCCCTCCCACCCACTTTTCTTTTTGCCTTGCAACTGTCTCATATTATTCGCAACTGGTCACCCTTTGATTCCACTCAACCCGACTGTCCATTCACTCACGCCGTTGCTGCTGCTATTGGTGACCGCAATGGTGGCTGCGTGCGCTGTCCAACCATGCATGATTTTCTCTCCTCACCCCGCTTCCTGTCTGCCGTACTGGCTCTTGCGTCACTTGGTGCTCGTTTGCCCCATAATAAACTTGCGTTCTGTGAACCCTTCTTCATGTGCGTGTGTGCGTTTACTACTACTCATCAAGAGCACGAACCACAACGGCCCACTGTTGCTTGCGAGCAAACAACCAAAACACAGCAGTCACCTGCAAGCAAACGGTCGAGCATGGGCGGGGCGCTGAGAAACAAAACGCACGCAACGCAACAAATCAGCACAGACACAAATCACAACTGAACTCGTCTGCATCAGCGTCTTTGGTCGCGGCGATGAACGAAACGACACAGCCACAGGCAAGTCTGCACAGCAGCAACAAGAACAAGTATCTTGGCCTGTTACTTGCGTGCTGCTGGCGTGTGCGTTCCACGACCAAGGAAAGGGCGCAACTGAATACAACTGCAGCATCCAGTCAAAAAGAAAAAAAAATCCACGAGACAACACAAAGGGAGGGATGGGAAGAATGGTGGTGGGGAAAGAGAGTAAAAAATGACGGCCCTCAGCTCAAAAGCACAGAGGGTGCAAGCAAACGCGGCCGATCACAGCACAATGTGGCAATCACTCGCTGTCGTCGTTCTCCTCGTCCATGCACTGATGGCTGCACGTGGTGAGACAACATGTCGGACAAACGCCTTCGTCGTACTCGTCCAGAACGGCAACGCCCCTGTCCGTCTTGCCGCGGGCTGTACTCTTGCGGCGCCGTTCCTCAGAGCGGCGGCGATGGGCTCCATTGCGGTTGTTGCCCCTGTTGTTTCGGTTTCGGTTTCGGTTTCGGTTTCGGTTCTCCGCCTGGATGATGCGTTGCAGATCAGCGCTGCGCACGCCCCTGAGCTCCTCGGGTCGGTCGCCTTTGCCTGCCATGCTTGGTAGTCGTTGGTTTGGCTTGCTGCTGTTGCTCTTCTCGCCCTGCTCGCTTGCCGTGCAATGCGCTCTCGGTGCTCCTGTGCTTCTGTGCTTGGTGTTGGCGTGCCCTTGCTCACTTGGCCGTCGTCGTCGTCGTCGTCGTGACTTGGTGGCTTTGACTTGGTGGCTTCCTGCCTTGGTCTTGCTCCTTGTTGGAAGGTGGAGAAAATGGCGATCCACATGCAACTGCTTCGCTTATAGTGCGAGCGAGCGTGTGCATTTGTGCGTGCGTGTGCGTTGTGTGTGTGCGTGTGCGTGTGCGTGTGTCTGTAAGAATTGGCGCTGAAGTAACATCGCAGGCGATATGTGACACGCAACGAAGGCATATAGATGAGAAACAAGCTGCAACATGTCTCACCTCAGTAAGTGGGGGACCGAAGATGGTGGAAGCAGATGGAAGAAACGCTTGGGGTAATATGGCAGTGGTTGTGGTGGGGTGATGGTTGGTGTGTGTGTGTGTGTTTGTGTGTGTGTTCGTCCTTGTGGTGTGTGTGTGTGTGTGTGTGTGTGTGTGTGTGTGTGTGTGTGTGTGTGTGTGTGTGTGTGTGTGTGTGTGTGTGTCGTCGTCGTGGTGGTGGTGTGT